TCGGCTTCATGAAGGAAATTAGTGCCCTTTAGAGACTCCCAGAGATATACCATGTGAGAACACAGAAGACGCCATCTATGAACAGGGAATTAGGCTCCCACTAGACAAGAGATCTGCTGGAGGCTTGATCTTGGATTTCCCACACTGTAGAGCTGTGAGAAGTAAAGTTGGCTGTTTATAAGTCACTCAAATGATGATATTTTGTTATAGCAGCTTGATCAGAAAAACACAATACTTTATGGGGTATTTCTAAAAGAGATTTTCCAATAGGATATTGAAAGAAATATGCCAGTGAGTATTTCTTAACAAAAGATTCATAGGCTGGGCATGGTTACACGTCTGTAATCACAGCACTCTGGGAAACTGATGCAGGAGGATCCCATGCTTGCATCGTCCTGGACAATTTAGTGATTTGGCAAGTACCTGTTCCAAAATAAAAATAATAAAGGTTGGAGATGTATTTAATGGCTCTGTGTTTAGTTTCCAGTAACCCCCCCCACACACAAAGGTTTTTCATATAAAACATCCACACAGGTGATAAGTTAATGTTGATTATCTTTAAATGGGAAAATTTGACCAGAGAGATCATGAATGGGATGTTTAGATGGGTATTTTTGAGCAAAGTGTTCTCTCCCCTAAACACATTCATGAATAAAACTTCCCAGTGAGTAGGTATCTATGAAAATGAAAGTCAATATCAAAAGGTAAATGTCAGTGGAATATTCATGAATAAAGTGGTGGTTCAAAAGTATTTGCAGTAGGCAGAATTCTAAGAATGAATCCCAGTATCCTCTTTCTAAAACCTCCTTGAATATGAGTAAAACCTGTGAACATGATATCATTCTGTGATACTACATTATATACCTAAAGTGGTCTTGCAGATCTAACTAAAGTTCATTTTAAATAGGGAGATTATTCAAGTGAGCCTAATCTAAGCACACAAGCCCTTCAGAAGAATTCCTTCCTGCTAATGGCAGAAAAGGAAGTGAGAGAGGTGGGAAAATGTGAGATCTTAAGCAGAGAACCCAGCCAAGCCTGCTTGGATTTCTGAACTACAGAATTGTGAGATTTAAAATAAAAATGAATGTGTTTTAAGTTACTAAATTCATGGTAATTTGTTAAACATATACATCAATAGAAAATGAATACATAGTACTTAATGGTTATTTGTAAAAGAGCACATATGCTACATGGGATTTTTGAAGGGAATTAGTCACCAAGTGCTTGAGGATTTATCATCTTGGCCACAGTAGAGCTTTATAAATGCAGTGATATGCTCTGACCAATGAGGACTTTGTAACAAACTGAATGTGATACCCCAAAAGTGTACTGAACTCCTAACCCCAAGGCCTTACTTGAAATCAGAAAGAAAAACATTATTACAAGGGAGAAGACTGTTTTCAGAAGTCTTTGAAATGTTACTATTTGCCAGTGATAGGGAGAAATTTGTACACTAGAAATTAGTGTACATGTAACACAGTAAAAAATTGCAAATAGTCAGATCATATTCTGTTTGTAATATCATTGTGATAAGGGATGATCAGAATCATGAATTAAATTTGTCAGGGTACATGAAATTATTGCTAATGTATTTTTCTAATACTGTAAATTATCATTTTACTATTAAACATTGCTATATTGCAAATAAGCATTATTAAGATTTACTACTACTAAGTAATAAATTAGTTATTACTACCAATCAGACTTATAGAGAGCTGATTATATATGTAGTTCTATTCTACAAAGTACTTTACATCTGGTCTCATTTAATATTCACATGTTTCCATGAGTTAGACATTATTTTAATCACCATTTTACAGATGCAGAAACTGAGGCATAGAGAGGTTATATGATTTTACCAAGGACATACAGCTAGAACAAAACATGAGTGAGATTTCTTCCCCTCAAATTTTAGTTTACAAGAATTGATTTTTATTATGTGTGTGTTATGAACAGCTACTTTGAAGAAAACAAGACATTATGGTAGCCATTGCTGATTTCCCATCATCTTTTTTTGAAGTCCAATAATGCTTTATTCTTGGTTTTGATTGGTTTTAGTCTGTTTTCTATTATTTGATTTCAATATGTATGAAGATATAGACAGCTATTTTGAAGAAAACAAAAGACATTATGATAGTCATTGTTGATTTCCTGTTGTTTGGTTTTGAAGGCCCATATTCTTGCATTCTTTTGTTTTGACTGGTTTTATACTATTTTGTTTTGTTTGAATTTATTGTATGTGAAAGTATGGACAACTATTTTGAAGAAAACAAGAGACATTATGGTAGCCACTGTTGATTTCCTGTTGTCTTGAAGTCTTGTGCTGCTTACATTGTTCTGTTCTGATCTGCTTTGTTATTTTGCTTTATTCTCTTCAAAATAAAAAACAAATTTTAATCAGACACTAATAAAAATTTTCTTAAAATTTTAAAAGGGAATTCATATGCCTGTTATCCTAGATACTGAGGAGACTGAGGTAGGAGGACCACATGTTCAAACTAGCTGCACAAACTTAGTGAGGCCCTGTCTTACAGTAAAAATATAAAAAGGATTGAGAATGTAGGTCAATGATACAGTGCTTTCCTAGCAAGTGTGAGTCCCTAAATTCAATCCCTAGGACTACTGAAACAAATGCAATTCTTATAAAGATTTGCATTTAAAAAATATTGTTATGGTTCATTTCTGGATATCCTCCAAAGACTCATGTGGTCTAAGTAACTAAGACAAAATTTGGTATCATTAGAGGAGTCATTGCTGAGACTATACCTGACCATGTAGTTCTACAGTCTTTGTGACTGGCTTGTGGGAAGAGTTTGGAAAAGTTTTGAGATGTTGCCTGAAAGAGTTGAGGGGAATATCATAAGTTGTTCTGTATGGGAGATCTTGGTTAGAGCTCAGAAGACTGGAAGGCTGATAGAAATCCTTCCAGTAGAGGACAGGTTCAGTTGGTTTCTGCTGGGAAGTACTGCATTGGCTGTTGGACTCCAGATGATGTTATGTTATGGCTTGGCAGAAAGTTTGTCTACATTTTGTTTGTGACCAGAGACTGCCTGAGACTAGGTTAAGGGCAGCAGATTAATAAATCTTGCAGAAGAAATTTCAAGTTGTGGGGTTAAGAAGCTTTCCACCCAGATTTTAGAAGGCCTAGGAGGCCAGAGTGTGCCTCTGAGAGGGCAATGTGTGAATGAGGGTGAAGCCAAAGATGCAGTGGAGAACCCAGAAGTTTGGAAAATTCAGGAATGTGGATCAACTAAGGAAAACTACAAGGAGGTAGAAAAACAAGCCTCAAAGAGAAGCTTTGGTAGCTATAACCACCAGAAGTGCCATAGGGGCATAGTCACCCAAGCCCTTTGGAATTTACAACTTGTCACAGACTGCCTTGGATGCAACACATAGAACTACAGGACTTAATAAATTGCCCTGATGGATTTTGGACCTGCTGTGATCCCATTCCTTTGTATTGTCATTTGTAACTTTTGAAATGGAACTGTTTATTTTGTTCATTGAATGTTGGAAGTATTTAACTTTCATTTGCACAGTGGCTCACAGATAAGAGTTTGCTTTAGATCTCAGAGCAGACTTGGGACTTGGACTTTTCATTAATGTTGAAACTGTTAGCACTTAGGCAACTCTTAGGGATGGATTAAATGCCTTTTGCATAAGCGAATGTACATGAGTCTTTGAGGGCCAAGGGTTGGAATGTTATGGTTCATGTCTGGTTGTTTCCCCAAAGACATGTATGGTCATGAGGGGTGGGCTTTTCAGAAGTGGTTGAATCTAGTGTTTGTGATTGGTTCATTGTTTAATGCTGGGATTCAGGATGAGTGACTGCTGGATCGGTCTAATGATTAGATTGGCACTGCTCTCATCCCAGCAGTCTGGATAAAATAAAAGGGGAAGAAAGAAGCTTGTTTCTCCCTTCTACTCTTGTTGATTTCAGTATCTTCTATCACCATGAATGGTTGTCCTCCTGCCATGTGTCACCCTGTCTTGGAACCAGCTGATTATGTACTGGAACCTCCATAAACTGTGAGTTAAATAAACCTTTTCTTCCTTCATTTTGGGTGTTGGGTATTTTGTCCCAGCAATGAGAGAAAAGTAACTAAAACACTGACCTAGTTCACATCTTTATAATTTTTCTCTTTTAAAACAAGTTTATTGATATGATTCACATGATTAAATTCGCCTGTTTAACACAGTTTTATTATATTGAGTTGTGTAAACATCACAATAGAATTTTACAATATTTTCATTATTCCTGAAAAAAAGCTCCCTATTTATAGTAGTCACTTTCCATTTTGATACCCATCCCCACAAAGCTACTTTCTGTCTCTATAGTTTTGTGAATTTGGACATTATATGTAAAGGTAATCATACAATATGGGTTTTTTCCTGGATAGATTATTTCAGTTAACATGTTTTCAAAGTGTATCTACACCATAGCATGTATCAGTACATCATTCCTTAATGAAATTAATATTCCATTGTATACAAATACATTTTATGTTCTATTCATATGCTGATGAACATTTATTTCCACTTTGGGCAATTATGAATAATACTGCTGTGAATATCTGTGTACAAGTTTTTATGTGGGCATGTTTTCATTTCTCCCCGGTAGGTATCCAAGAGTTGAACTGCTAGACCACATGGAAATACTATGTTTAACCTTTTGAAAAACTGTTAAACTGTTTTCCAAAATGGCTGCATCTGTAACACCCCTCTAGCAACCTGAGAGCGTTCCAATTTCTCCACATCCTTAGTAACACTTGTTACTGTCTTTTTTTTCACTCTAGCCATTCTAGTGTGTAACATGGTCTCTGTCCCCACAATCCATGCTGGGGATGGAACTCAGGGTTTCACACACCAGGCAAGTGCTCCTGCATTAAGCTCCAGCCCCAGCCTTTACTATGTTCTTGATTTCCATCTTCCTGATGACTAATTATGTTGCAAATCTATCTGGCTGCTTACTGGGCACTCATATGTTCTTTCAAGAAATATCTTTTTTTAAAAAATTTTATTTAAGAGGAAAAAGAGAAAAACACAAAACAAAACAAAGTGGTGTAAGGGTACACGTAATACAGAACTACAAAAAAAAAAACATAACAGTAAGAAATCACCTGTTAATAGATTCCATATTATCATCTTGAAAATAGTTGCTCAAATCACAGTATCAAAGAATACAAGGTGGACATTCAAACAGGGAGACTGCAAACAGCCGTGTTCAATGATCCAAAAACATTGATATAGTCAGCTATTTAACACCCCTAAACACACTTGCTGTTATATCCGCTAGAGCTCTTTTTTTCCCTCTCTTTTTTACAACAAAATTTACACATTTTGGATTTTATTACTCCTTAGTGCTTATTACTTTTTTGGGGGGGAGAGAATACAGTCAAATATGGCAAAACAAAGCTGTCAGTCAAAACCAAGGATAGACATAGCACATGGTGTAGAACAGAGTACAAGGTTATCAACAATGGTTATCAACGTTGTCTTTTGTTTCCTTAAAAAGAATTGTCTATCTCATTAGATATTATAAAGTTGGACAAAACAGTAGAGAACAAGACCAATAAAACTTAGGCATTGTAAACATTACAGGACTTCCAAAAAAGACAATAGTCAAACCAGAGTGAGCATCTTAGTGAATCTTATTGCCTTTTGAAGAAATATCTACTCAGATCACTTGCCCATGTTTAGTTGGTTTGTTTTTATTATCAAAGTGTGAGAATTCTTTATATATACTGGATACAAATCTCTAAGCAGAGATATACTCTACAAATATCTTATTCCATTCTGTGGATTGACTTTTTACTTTTTTTGTAGTATATTTGTAGCAAAAAATTTTAAATGTGATTCAATCCAATGTATTTACTTTGTGTTTATAGAGTATACTTTTGCTATCATTTAGGGGTAGAATTTGAATAGAGATCTGGCTCCAGCATTCATGTTCTTAACCATTATACAATACTGCCAGTCTATAAATTAAATCACTATTAGTAATATTCCATGTTAAGTTATTATTATGAATGTTTTGTGTTTTGGCTTGAAAAATATCCATGGTGCAAAGAACCCTCAAACTTAGCACAAACCTTTGGAAGATTATGAGTAGGGACTGGAATGTCCACATTTTAGGGACAAGACTAGGACTCAGGTGAAAGAAGGGCTGGTCCTCAGGTCAACCACTGAGCTGCTTCCCATGGTGCACACCTCACATGGCTGTTACCCCACATGCTTTCTCTCAGTGGCAAAGTCTCTTCAGAGTCTCATACAGACATACTCAATGCTGGCGAATATTTACTTTTGTAGATTTTCTAGAAGAGTAATGACAGGAAACATAGTGACTTTAAGGGCACCGATCTCCCTTCAAGAGGCTTCCAAGCACATCAGGGCTTGGAAGCCGGAGTTTTCTGTAAGGGTTGCTTTCCTGTGGCAGATCAGTCACAGACATTGAACTGGAAAGAAGATGCTCCCTCTGCAGCCTGCAATTCCAACTTGTTGATTAATGTCCCCAGCAGTATCTAGGGTATACAGCACCGTCCTCCAATTCATGACTTTTCTTATTGTGGTGTCACTTACCTGCAGTGAACCACAGTCTGAAAATATTAAACAGAAACCCCAAAATAATTCATGGTCTAAATTGCGTGCTATTCTGAGCATCATGATGGAATCTTACACTGTCCAGCTTTTATTACAGTATATGTTAATCTCTTTATGGACCTAATTTATAAATTAAACTGTATCATAGGTATGTATGCATAGGAAAAACACTGTATATGTAGGATTTGGTACTATATTTGGTTTCAGGGGCTCACTTATACCACACTAGGTGAGAAGTGAGGAATCAGCCTCCATGTGGGTGGGGACAATGAATGGGCCAATACTATGATAGAAGCAAAACTACTTTAGAGGTGTTAAGTGGCTAATCAGCAAAGTGCTTAAAGATAATGTGGAGTCAGCGAACAGTGGGCTGATTCTTTATGAACATCAAAGACCCTGCCCTGTATTTGTGATCAAGTTTAGCAGACATGTGGTTATACTGCCAAAGGGTGGGCAGCTATTGTGACCGAGAAACATGAGATGGATTCAACAAGAATGGTGAGTGGTCAGCAGTTGTGGGGTTGAGCCTAATGAGGATGGGCTTGGAGGTGGGGTGTTGGTGCCATACAGGGGCATCATTGCATCTGGACACTGGGCAGTGGCTTCAGTGATAGAGATCAATGTAGGATCAACAAACACTGTGATTGTGTTTTATAAGAGTCAAAGACACTGAGTAACTCGGAAGGAGAGGCCAGTGTGGACTCAGAAGACACCGGGAGCTCATAGAAGTTAAAGTCTCTGCTCTTATGATTAATTGAGGATCAGCAGACAAGAGTGATGGTAGCTAGGATACAGTTAGCAAATACATTGCTGTGACAATCCCTAATACCTCCAAAAAAGAGGGATATAGGTAATTTAGAAAGTGTAATATGTAAATTCAATTTGATGCTATATTATGATGCATCTGAAGATCAATTCAAATAACCTGGGTCATCATAGTCACTAGACATTCAAGAAGAAAAAGGAAAAAGTATTTCAACAGAGTATCTATTTACTGTGGCATAGTGCCATCAACTCCTAAAAATAAAAGACTCACTCTTTTTTCTTCTAGTACCAGAGATTAAACTCCCCTAGGGCCCTGTCACATTCTAGGTAAGTGCTGTGCCACTAATTTATACCCCTAGCTCTATTTTGAGTAAGGGTCTCACTAAGTTGCTCAAACTGACCTTGAACTTGCAATTCTCCTGGTCTAGTCTACCAAGTAAATGAGAATATAGACATATACCACCACACGAGGGTAGGAGTCACTCTTACTGATCAAAAAAGATTTTTCAAACAAATGGGAAAATGATCCTCAATGGAATGTATAAAATCATCAAGAGCAACCAAGATGGTGAATATGTTTGTAAAATCAAAAGAATATTGCCTAAACAAGACAAAATGTTTTGTGTAGAGATGTGTGTTTTTACACACATATATCTGCACTCCATAACACATATTTTGAAATATAACACATAGGCAAAACATGTATGTATGTATGTATGTATGTATATATATATATATATATATATATATGTATATATATATATGCAGATGATCAAAGTTGCTATTAAAAATTTAGAGGACTGATAGTAAGAGCTGGCAGTTATAGAAAAATGGAAACTTAAAAACTGCTCCTGAGAGTACACTAATACAATTTGGAGGGGAAAACTCAATGCTTAATAAAGTTAACAAACTTCTATATCTATCAGAGAGCAGTCATGGAACAGAAAGCACACTTGTTATTTTAACAGAAAGAATTTTTTTGTGCTTGGAATCAAACTCATGACCTTGTGCTTTCCAGGCAGGTGCTTATACCACTGAGATAAATCCCTGACCTTGTTTTGTGTTTTTTAGACACGGTCTCATTATGCACTTTAGGCTGGTCTCAAACTCACAGTGATCTTCCTGTTTCAGTCTCCTGAGTGCTGGAATTACAGGCAAGTGCCATCATGCCTGGCTCCTTAACTGAGAAAAATTATTTGAAATAATTTTTCACTAGTTATGAAGTGTTAATTACATAACTGAAGAGACAAAAAGAGCATTTAAGTTATCAAGAAAATAGCAATGAGAAAAAGCAGCCATGATAGGGTAGTATTGAAGGGATAAAGTTGCAATTATTAAAAATTAGGAGTGTCAGGCATGGTAGCACAGAACTATAAGTCCAACTATAATTTATAGGTCGAGGTAAAAGTGTCACAAGTTCAAGTCCAGCCCAGGAAACTAAAAAAGGAGCTGGGAATGTAGCTCAGTAGTAAAGCATTTCTGGGGCCCATCACCAGTACTTCAAAAAATGAGTAAGGTGGAGGAGGGTACCCTTGTGGCTGGAACTCATACCTCTACATATGTAGCACCAGCCAGCTGATGCTTGTCCCAGAAAGGGTGGGTTCCACAAGCTATCTTTGAGAGTGCTGGAAAACTGCCAACTAGGCAAAACTGCTGTGTGTAGGATGGAAATCCATATTACTGAACTTTTGTTGGATCATTGATCGGCACTGCCTGCAATCTCATTGTATGAATGTTCACTTTACATGCTTTAATTTTATAATTTGGACAACTATTTCAAAGATGACAATATGTAACCTATTAACTAGTGATATCCTACTGTATTTTTTCCTTGAAATTCTGTATTATTTGTACCCTTTTACTGCTTTGTTTTTTAATTTTATTTCTTTTTTTCTCTTTAAATAAATAAAAAACTGTGGCAGGTGCATATTCCAGGAAGCAGGGAAAGAGGCAAAAAGTACCTTCTGTCTCCAGTCCCAAGTTTAGATCTGGTATCTCTCATTGGGATAGTCTCACAGAGAGGAGCTGTCAAGACGGAATGCAGTCTGTAGAGTCACAAAGCACACTCTAGAAGGATGACTTTGGAGCTGGAGCACAGAAGCCTAATAACTGGCCCTGTGATCCAGCAGTCCCATTTCTAGGCTTAGACATAAAACATAGAAGCAATACATATTCCACTAGGAGATTGGAGAGAGTAATGAGTAAACCAGACCTGCATTTATCAACATATATAGGTCTTGGGAAGGTAACATCACATGGAAAAACACCAGCTGCTGAATTTTAACTACTGTGATATTAGCTGTGAAAAAACCTAATCAGACAGTATAGTAGTATATACTACAGACCTCATACTCTACAAAAAGTTCACAGGTGAAGTGGCACATGCCTGTAATCCCAGCACATTGGGAGGCTGAGGTGCGAGGATTGCAAGTTTGAGCCCAGCCCATGCAACTCAGCGAGGTGCTGGGTTGTAGCTCACTGCAAGGCCTTGGGTTCAGTCCTGAGGACAAAGAAAAAAAGTCTCATAATAAATTTAAATTCTAAATGTTAAAAAACCCCCTTTGACTTCAGAAGGAAGTATAGGTAAATATCATTACTTTGAAACTGATGATAGTAAAATGTAACATTTTTAACAGAATTAATCAATAAGTCAATCTGGAAGAAGATATTAAACATATACAAATGAAAAGAGTTTTATAACTTCATAAATTAAAACAGTGACATTTAAACCAGGAAACAAAAGATGAACAGCCCATTACAAGTCAGTGGGCAAAAGACAGGAAGAGTCACTGTACTGGAGAAAACATCCAAATGGCCAATGGACAGGTAACATGTTTAACCTTATCACTAAATAGGGAAATACAAATGAAAACAATAATGTGCTGCATTCCAAGGGGACCAGGACCTGGTTCACACCAATTTAGGTGCCACATCATGACAGAGTTACTCTTATGCTCTGGTGATCAAATGCTCTAAAGGCCTTGATATGATGTGGTGGAGGGGCTCAAAGAGGACCTTTCTCTACAGCACAAGGCCAGGGGTGGCCCATATGAGTCCTCTGATGTTCTGTGAGGTGTGCTTTGCGGCAGAAAGCCTTGCCACATTCCTGACACTCAAAGGGTCTCTCTCCCGTGTGAATTCGCTGATGTTCAATGAGGCGCACTTTCACATAGAAGGCATTTCCACACTTGCTACATTCATAAGGTTTGTCTCCTGTGTGAGTTCTCTGGTGCTGACAAAGGGATTTTTTCATACTAAAGATTTTCCCACATTCACTACACTGGTATGGTTTCTCTCCTGAATGCATCCTCTGGTGTTCAATGAGGCGAGCTTTTACATAGAAGGCATTACCACATTCATTACATTCATAAGGTTTCTCTCCTGTGTGAATTCTCTGATGGATCCCGAGAGATGAGTGCACTCTGAAAGATTTCCCACATTCATTACACTGATAGGGTTTTTCACCTGTATGGGTTCTCTGATGGTTATTAAGAGTCATTTTCATTCGGAAGAATTTCCCACATTCTCCACATTCATAGGGTTTTTCCCCAGTGTGAATTCTCTGATGTTGATTTAGAGATTTCTTGGCCCGAAAGTTTTTCCCACAGTCCCTACATTCATAGGGTTTCTCCCCCGTGTGAGTTCTCTGGTGTTGGGTAAGGGATATCTTGACACGAAATGTTTTTCCACATTCCCCACACTTGTAGGGTTTCTCCCCTGTGTGGGTTCTCTGATGAATTGTGAGAGTTGCCTTCTCAGAAAAGGTTTTCCCACATGCCATACATTCATAGGGTCTCTCTCCTGTGTGTGTTCTCTGATGCAGAATGAGTTGTGACTTCCTGCCAAAAGATTTCCCACATTCATGACATTCAAAGGGCTTCTCTCCTGTATGGGTTTTCTGATGAGCAATGAGGTAGGATTTTGCACTGAAGGTTTTTGCACACTCACCACATCTATAGGGCCTCTCCCCTGTGTGTATTCTCAGATGTTCAACAAGGTTTGATTTCCTGCAATATGCTTTCCCACATTCATGACATTCAAAGTTTTTATTTCCTGCATGTGTCCTTTTACATCTGACAAAGGCTGTTTCCTCATGGAAACCTTTGTCACATCTGTTATAGTCAACATTTTCATTCAAAGTTTGAATCTTCTGATGCCGAAGAATATTGAAGGCATTGTCCCCAACTGAAGTGTTGCCACACAGCACTGAGAGGGATTCTTTAAAAACAAATCAGAGCATGTCACTCTTTGACATAATCCCCCCCACAAAGAGCCAATCACATTATAAAATTAAGCTCCTTAACTTAGCTATTAGAGCTAGGTATCATTTGGCCCTCTGCTAACTCACTGATGCCACTTTTTAACAGTCTCTCCCTCTCTTAGCCTGGTCTCTTTGCTAATCCTAGGATATGTCACTCTGTCTAGGCTTGACACTCACAATTAAATGCACAGAATACTTAAAGCCTACATGACTCTATCTTGTTCACTGATGTTTGTACACTAATGTTAACCTCACCACAAAGCCTTCCTTGATCATGTTCCCTAAATGTACACAATAGTGGCTAGCTTTCTTACCTTGCATTAACTTTCTTTTTACCACCAAACATATTATGTATTTGTTTCTGGTTGCTTTCCCTCACTAGCTTATAAGCTCCAAGAAAAGAAATTTTTTTTTCACTGCTGTTCTCCACACCTAAAATGTGATGAGCATGTACTTGGTACTCACTTAAGGTTTAGTGAATGGTTAAATAAATGTATGTATGAATGAATACCTGATATAAGAAGGCCCCCAAGGCAATAGAGAAGAGGAAAAATAAATGTCTAGGAAGAGGCAGAGATCAGAAAGAGTAGTGACTAACTTTACTAAAAACACAATAAAACAGTACTGATGTATAATACTGGGATTTGCAATTTAGGGTCTGAAATATGTAGACTTTCTGTCCTTATTTGCAAAGAGCTTAGGCCTCTAAAAAGAGATTCTTGGAAAATATGAGGCTAACTTTTGACCTGAATACCTGGGATCTTATTTTCCCTGTGATTCACGTGTCATTCTTGCTCACTTACCAGCATAACCATGGCCTGAGGATTCCTCTTCTAATATCCACAGCTCTTCTCCTCGCTCCAACTTGAAGATCATCTCTGGTTTGACCATGCAGAGGCCTGTGAAAGGAAAATGGCATAGCATGTTGGCCAAGATGTCTGAACTTTAGGGCCTCTGATGGAGGAGGAAGGTGCATCTTTGTGAGCTGCATGAGGAAGGCCTATTTAAACCTTTCATTGAGGAGGTCAGAACATACATATTCTTCCTGGTGCCCTAAACTAATCAGTCAACTGTGATCCTTGTAACTGAAACTAAAATGCAGAACTCTGCAGAAGCTGTACATGTTAGAGCAACCACATTCCCCACAATCACACAGATAAGCATCCTCACCCACAGACGCCAGGTTGCTGTAGGTCTCTAGCATCACATCCTTGTGCATGGTTCTCTGTGCAGGGTCCAATTGGTACCACTCCTGTTGGCTGAAATCCACAGCCACATCCTCAAATGACACGGATCCCTGTAACAACAATCTGCAATGATCAGAATGGGATGCATGGAAAATCTGTGTGACCACAAATGGTCAATATGGAGCCCTACTGACAGCCAACTGTAAAGAGTCATATTGGACATATGACTGTGTTTTAGCTGGTCTTATACTTTTGAGGAGTGTCCCTGCATTGATGTATTATGGAGAAAATAATTCATGAAGAAAAGATTACTAGATGACTGAGTTAAGACTACATGCCTAGATCTGTGCACATTTCTAGGGAAATGACACCACAGTACCTATATTCAAGGAGCGCATATGTAGAAGAGAAATGCTAGACATGAGGAAAGGGACACTGCCTCTCATAAGAAATGGGAAAGATTCCTACTTGATGTTACCAGACAACAACTTTGCTGGGAAGCAGAGCTGTGAATCCTTAACAAGAATACAATTTCCACTTAAATGTATTTGAGTACTCATAATCTAACTTTCCACTATCCTCTCTTGTTATCCCCTTTCAAGTCTCTAGTCATCACTAATTTACATGCTGAGCAACATTTTTACAATATCTTCATATGAGAGAGAGCATATGGAATTTCTTTCTGGGTCTGACTCACTGTATGTCACACGATGTTCTCCAATTGTATCCATTTTGCTGCAAATGATAGGATATCACTTTTTGTTTGATTTTTTTATTTTAAAGAAAAAACAAAAAGCAAACAATTGAAAAACAACAACAAAAGCAAAATGACAATGACAACAACAACAGAAAGCAATGGAAATATGGGCTTTCAAAATAAGATGATAGGAATTTAACAGTGGTTGTTATATTGTCTATTGTTACCCTCAAAGTAATTGCTCAGGCTATCAGATACAGGCATGTAAGACTTATCAAACAATGTAATTTCCCTTTGAGAAATTTCTTTCCCTTTTACTGTGTCTATTGTTAACATCTGGATCTTATTTGCTCTTTCAGTTTTTATACTAGTGAGACAATACAGTGTTTACACATGTAAGTCTAATTTATTTCACTTATGAGTATGGTTTCTAGTTGCATTCATTTACCTACAAAAGCCTCAAGTTTATCATTAGTTATGGCTGAGTAGTATTCTATTAAAAAAACCCACCGCATCTTTTTTTATTAATTCCTCGGTTGATGAACATTTGGGTTATTTCTAAGATTTAGCTATTAGAAATGATGCTGTTATAAATATGGGTACATATATATTGCTGTGACATAATGTTTCCAATTCTTCTGGGACCATTGACACAGAAGGAGAATAGCTGGGTTGAGTGGAATCTCTAATCCCAGTTTTTTGAGGAATTTCTATATTGATTTCCACAGTGGTTGTATCAGTCTATATTCCACCAACAATAGAGAAGGGTTCCTTATCCCCCACAGCCCTGCCAGCATTTGTTGTTGGTTAATTTCTTGATGTTAGCCATTTTTCTGGAGAGGGAATCTCAGTGTTGCTTTAATTTGCATTTCTTGAATGACCAAGGATGTGGAACACTTTTTCATATATTTATTTGCTGTTTGTATTTCTTCATCTGAGAAGTGTGTATTTATCTCAGATGCCCATTTATGAATGGGGTCTTTAAATTTGGAGTTCCTGATTTTTTTCAATTCTTTATATGTTCTAGATAAAAATCCCTTGTGTGAGGGACAGTTGGTAAAAAGTCTTCCCAATCTGTGAGTTTCCTTTTGGCTCTGCTATTGATTTCTTTCAATGTGCAAAAAATTTTAATAAGAGGAGATCCCCATTGTTGATTCTTTGAAGTACTTTCAGAGGACTTTGATTTTTTTCATGAAATCTTGGCCTACCCCTTTAGCCTTGAGATTTCTACTTACTTTCTCTTCCACTAGGTTTAGTGTTTCTGTCTTTATGTTTAGATCTTTAATCCATTTTGACTTTAGTTTAGTTCATGGTGATAGGCATAGGTCTTGTTTCAGCCTTTGGCATGTAGAAAGCCAGTTTTTCTAACACTACATATTAAAGAGGCTGCCATTCTTCCAGTGAACATGTTTAGCCCATTTGTCAAAGGTAAGGTGGAGGCTATGTTGGAACTTAGGGCACTAGGAAACAAAGCAACCTGCTCGCCTCTCTGGTAAGCAGCCAAGGCTCAGACAAGCAGCAGCTGCTCCAGGGAAGGAACTAGCCAGCATCTCCAGAGATCTGTGCCATGTTAAAATTTAGGGCACTGGGAAATCAAACAACCTGCTGGCCTCCCTGGTAAGCAGCCGTGGCTCAGGCAAGCAGCGCCTGCCCCAGGAAAAGAACCAGCCAAAGTCTCCCAAGATCTATGCCATGTTGGAACGTAGGGCAATGGGAAACAAAGCAACCCTCTCGCCTGCCTGGTAAGCAGCCATGAGCCTACCGGTACGCAGTCTAAAAATCAAACATCCCATCCCCACCTCCTCATTAGCAAATGGGAGCCAGAGGTCTGAGCATCTCTTGGGAGGTTGACTGTATGCAATATAGCAAATAGGGGGGATTTCCTTCTACCATCTCTTTGAAGGCAAATAATGTTATCACTGTTTTGCTTCGTTCTGATTAACTGTATTGCTTTATTCAATATTCTGTTTTGATAAGTTCTATAATGTTCTGTATTTGGTTTGATTTTGCTATACCTGATTGAAAGAACAACTATTGTGAAGATAACAAAATATACTATGGTACCTATTACAGTTATCCTGATAACCTGTTGTGATCTGTACCAATTTCACTGAACTGTCTCAATTGGCTTTGTTCTGTCTTGTTCTGTTGTATTTCACTATCTTAAAAATAATTTAAAAATTTTAAAAAGATACAGCCATAAACTGCATAGGATACATACCAGCTCCTGTGAAATTTCCATCCTCTAGACAAGAAAGTAAATTATTTTTGTGAATAGTTTTATATTGTAATGCATTTAAACTTTAAAATCAAGTAATGAATATGAAAAAAGTCAATTATAATTTTGTGATTAAAAATATGGGACCCAGTGGCAGGCTAAGCTACTCTTTGTGAGACAGAAGAGAACTCTCTGAGGCAGTAACAATAAGCCCACTATGAGATGCCTGCAGCACTGAAGTCCTTGTCACCCAAGACAATGTCTGGTCAAAGTGAATCCCAAAATTACATAGAAATTCATGGATTGTTTTATTTTCACAAATAATTTTATAATTCATTTGATTGAAAAAAAAGCAAAGTAGAGAGTGTCTTTGTAGTTGTGTCTGATCTTCTGTTTGGTTCCACTGATCCTCAGGTCTGTTGTTTTTTGTCAGTACTATACTGATCTTATAGCAGCTCTCTGGTATAATTTCAAATCAGGGATTGTGATGCCTTCTGCCTTGCCTCTGTTGCCCAGGATTGCCTTTGCTATTCTAGGACTCTTATGGTTCCAAATGAATTTTAGGAGATATGCAATGGTGAGATATGCAAATGGTATTTTGCATTAAATCTGTATAACAGTTTTATGGGCATGGACATTTCCACAATGTTGATTCTTCCTATTCAAGAGCAAGGGAGATCTTTCTACTTTCTGACATCCTCTTCAATTTCTTTTTTCAGAGTACTGTAATTTTCAATGTATAAATCTTTTACTTCCTTTGTTAGATTGATTTCTAAGTATTTTGTTTTTTAAAATGCTATCATGAAAGGTGTGGTTTCCCTAATTTCTTTTTGTGAGTTTTTTGTTTGTATATAGGAATATTATTGAATTTGAGTATTAACTTTGTACCCACTATGCTTCTGAATTTGCTTATTGGGTCTAGACATCTGTTGGTGGAGTTTTTGGGGTTTTCTATGTACAGTATCATGTCATCTATGAATAATGGATAATTTAAATTTCCCTTTCCTATATTTATTCCTTTTGTGTCTCTTGTTGCTCTATTGCTTCCAGAATTACATTGAATAGGGGTAGTGACAGTGGACAACCTTGTCTTGTTCCTGATTTTAGAGCAAAAGCTTTCAGTTTATGTCCATTTAGTATGATGTTGGCTCTTGATTGGTTCATGGCATTTATCAAATTGAGGTAAAGACCATCTATTCTGATTTTCTGTAGGGTTTGTACCATGAATGAGTGTTGGACTTTATCAAAAGCATTTTCTACATTTATTGAGACGATCATGTGATTTTTGTCTTTTGCTCTGTTAACATGGTGTATTACATTTATTGATTTGCATATGTTGAGCCTTCCCTGCACTCCTGGGATGAATCCCAGTTGGTTATGGTGTATAATCTTCTTGATGGTTTGCTGCATTCTGTTTGCTAGCATTTTATTGAGGATTTTTGCATCTATGTTAATTATAGAGATTGGCCTGTACCTTTATTTTCTGGTTGGGTCTTTCTATGATTTAGGTATGAGGGTAATATTTGCCTCCTAGAATGAATTAGGGAGAATTGATTCCTGTTCAATTTCACTAAAGAATATGAGGAGTACTGGTATTAAATCATTTCTAAATTTTTTATAGGATTTAGCTGTGAATTCATCTGGACTGGACTTCTTTTGTTGGTAAGTTTTTAATCATGTTTTCAATTTTATTAACTGATCCTGGATTATACAGAATTTATATATCATCCATATCTTGGTAGTTCATATGTATGTAGGAATCTGTCCATTTGTTCTGTATTTTTGATCTTATGAGCATAAAGGTTTACTAAGTAGGTACTGATGATCTTCTAAATGTCCACAGGATCAGTAGTGATTTTGCCCTTTTCATTCCTTATTACATGAATATGAGATTTTCTTTTTTTGATAAAGTTGGCTAAGGGTTTATCAATTTTATTTATTCTTTCAAAGAACCAACTTTTCTTTTTTCTTTTCTTTTTTTGTTTAAAAAATTAAAAAAGCAAAACAAAAAGGTAGAAATGATACAGAATTTCAAAAATAAAAGCATTAAGAAATCATCACTAGCTGATATATCACATATTGTTATCTTAGTAGTTGTTCAAGTTACAAAATCAAAACATAAAAAATGAACAATCAAACAGTGACAGAAGAAACCATTCTGTTTGATGAACTTTAAGAAACTCAGTAGCATGGTT